TGCTTCTATTAAAAGAAGCATGATATACATCTCATCATAAGATTAATCAAGCAAACAAAACAAAATCACTGCCACCGAGTCAAATCCAACTCATAGCAACCCCTCCTTGGGTTTCCAAGGCAATATCTCTAGGGAAGTAGATTGCCCAGTCTTCCTTCCGAGGAGTGGCTGGTGAGTTTGAACCACCAGACTTCTGGTTGGCAGTCAAGTGCTTTAGCCACTATGCCACCAGAGATTAATAGCACAGTTCAAAAAAATAGAAACCAACAAATAATAGTGAGGGTATGGAGAGACTGGAATCCTTACACATGGTGGTGGAACTGTAAAATGTTACAGTCTCTGTTGAAAATGGAATGGTGTTTTCTTAAAAAAGTTAGAAATAGAAATACCATGCGATCCAGGCACCCTGGTGCTAGATATATATCCTAGAAATATAAGGGTTGTGAGATGGTCAAAAAAGCAGCATTTGCCCAGGGACAAAGCTCAGAAAACAGGAAAGGCTAGGAAAGAAGGATGAATGGAAACAGTATACACAAGGAGGAAGTTAGAAGAATACTATTACAGTACGGAGATTGCAATCAGTGTCACAAAGCAAAAGGTGTATGGATTGCCCAAAGGACAACCAACTTACTCTGTAAACTTTCACCCAAATCAAAATAGCATGTAAAAAAATAAAATAATTACAATGTATTGTATCTTCACAGGAGCTCTGGTAGTATAGTGCCTAAGGCACTTGAACGCTAACCAGACGGCTGGCAGTTCAAACACACCACCTATTCCTCAGAAGGAAAGCTGGGAAATCTACTTCCATAGAGATACCACCTTGGAAAACCAAGGACAGGTTGCTAGACTCTACAGCAGTGAGTTTGCGTTTTTTTAATTTTTTTATCTGTCAAACAGCACTACTCCTGTTTCCTCCTTCATGAAACCTTACCCAAATAAGCCTCACTGATCAGGCCTGTCCTCTTATGTGGCAAGTAATAAATATATTATCTTCATGCCATTTTGATATTTAAACTTTGTATTTTAATTTGTCCCAATTATTTCTGCCTTCTGATATTGATTTTTTTTTCTTTAGAGTTACAAGATTCTTTTTTTAATGCATTTTATTGAAATATAATTTATGTACAGTGAAATACACAAAACTAAAGTGACATGAGTCAATGAATTTTTCTTTTTTTTCCCAGTGTTCCCTCCCATCACCTCCCACGTCTCACAACCAACAAAGACAGTTTCCCACCATATCTAAACCTTTCCTTGACCCTCCACAACAATGAACTAATACTATATTTGTCTTTCTGTGACTAACATTTCACTCAGCATGATGTCCTCCAAGTTCATCCATATTATGCAGTGTTTTGCAGACTCTACATTATTCTTTACTGCTACATGTTGTTGTTGTTGTTGTTATTTGCCGTCGAGTCGGCCCTGACTCATAGCGACCCCTCCTTGGGTTTCTGAGGCAGTATCACTACGGAAGTAGGATTGCCCAACCTTCCTTCCAAGGAGTGGCTGGTGGGTTTGAACCGCCAGCCTTCTGGTTAGCAGTCAAGTGCCTTAGGTAGTATGCTACCAGAGCTCCTTTACTGCTACATAGTATTCCATTATGTGTATATACCATAGTTTGCTCATCCACTCTTCCACTGATGGGCATGTAGGTTGTTTTCATCTTTTTGCTATTGTAAATAGTGCTGTGATAGGCATGAATGTGCATATATCTGTTCCTGTCCTGGCTCTCACCTCTCTAGGATATATACCTACTAATGGGATTGCTGGGTCAAATGGTATCTCCAGCTCCAGCTTTCTAAGCAATCAGCATATTGCTTTCCACAGTGGTTGTATCACTTCACAGTCCTACCAGCAGCATATGAGAGTCCCAATCTTTCCACATCCCTGCCAGCATTTATTATTTTCTTTCTTGTTGAACCTTGCCATCAGTGCTGGGGTGAGACAATATCTCATTGTTGTTTTGATTTGCATCTCTCTGATGGCCAATGATTGTGAGCATCTCTTCACATATTAGCTGACCACCTGAATATCCTCCTTGGTGAAGTGTCTATTCATGTCTTTTGCCCATTTTTCAATTGGATTGTTAATTCATTTGATGTTGAGGCATTGGAGTTTTCTATAAATCTTAGAGATAAGTCCCTTGCCAGATATGTAATTATCAGCAAATAAGAAGTTGTTGCTGTCATTTTTGTTAGGTGCTTTCTCATGGTGTCAATTTCTTTGTTCCATATAATTTTCTGTGCTGAGCTCGTTTTGTTTATGAATAGTGTTATCACTTCCTTTGTTGCTATTGTTTAAGTATTTGCTAACTATTAGTGCTGGTCCTCATTTTTAGTTTGTTGTGAAGGTTTATCATTTTTCTTTGAGGTTACCCTGTGATTTATAGTTTTCTTCCCAAGTTTAGAACAGTCCATTCTAGTTTGTAGTTGTCTTGACTTCCCTACCATCTAGAAGTTCTGTAATGACACAGTTTTTACCATCTTTTTGGTTTTTGATTGTCCTCATTTGTCAATTGAAGTCTCTGGCTCCCTGTTTACCATCTTGTAGGCTTATTTACTTTGGATACTTCCATAGCTGGGTTGGTTTCTGGGTAATAACATCATGTGTGTTAAAGGTCAGTTGTCGTTGGCTGCTGTTGCTTCTCTGTCCAAAGGGCCCCCTTTAGCGTCTTTTGTAAGGTTGGTCTGGTTTTCACAAATTCCCTTAATTTCTGCTTATCTGGAAATATCCTATTTTCACCATCATATTTGAGGGACAATTTTGTGGGGTACATAATTCTTGGTTGGAAATTTTTCTCTTTCAGGGTTTTATATATCTGTAGCATAGTGCTGGAGCTCTGGTAGCTTGGTGCCTAAGGCACTTGACTGCTAACCAGAAGGCCAGAGGTTCAAACCCACCAGCCACTCCTCAAAAGGAAAGTTGGGCGATCTACTTCAGTAGTGATAATGCCTCGGCAACCCAAGGAGGGGTTGCTATGAGTCAGATCCGACTCAATGGCACATAACAACAACAACAACAACCCCATTGTCTTCTCATCTGCATGGTTTCTGCTGAGAAATCTGAGCTTAGTCTTATTGGTTGCCCCTTTTGGCAACTTTTAGTTTTTCCTGTGCTGCTCTCATGATTCTTTCTTTGTCATTGGTTTTATTGAGTTTGATGATAATGATGATGGTGATTTCTTTTGGGGTCTATGCTATTTGAGGTTCGTTGGACTTCCTGAATGGATACATTCTCATCTTTCATCATACCAGGAAAATTATCTTCCAAAAAATCTTTGACAATTCTCTCTGGTTTTATTTGTCTCTTCCTGTTCTGAAATTCCGATTACATGTAGGTTATTTCTTTTGATGGTGTCCCACATGAACCTTAGGCTTTCTTTGTTTTGTTTTCATTTTTTTTTTCTGATTTATCCCTTTACAAAGAAGTGTTCAGGTATTTGCCTTCAATCTCACTAATTCTGTCTTCCATTGATTCAATTCTGCTTCTTTGCCCATTCAATGTCTTATCTATTTCTGAAATTTTAGTATTAGTCTTTTGAATTTCTCTGTGTCTATTTTGTATCATGTCTAATTTTTCATTTATTTTTTCATTTTTTTCTTGTATTGTCTTTCATAATTGTTGTAGGGTTTTCTTCAATTTTTTTCAGTGTTTTCCTTGATCTGTCTCTCAATTCATTGAAGATACCTAAACAATTCTTTTGAATACCTTATCAGGGTGTTCCTATGCTGTGTCTTCCTCAGGGATGTGGTTTTGGTCTGTATCCTGGTCCGTTGTTTTTCTCCTGCATTATCTTGCTTCTTTGTGTGGACTACGATGCTCTGTTGTCTCTGAGCCATTGTGGTGGTTTTTTTTTTTTTTTTTTTTTTCAACTTCAAAAAGTGTATGGTACAATTTTATTTCAAATTCCTTAACAAGGAAAAACAGCTTCCATAAAAACAACTCATAAAATTACATAAGGGAATTACACCCTAATACTCAAAATTTGCTTTTGAATATAATTTCCAAATAAATTGTATACCATATATACAGGCTAAAAATTTAAAACTCCAAAATAATTGTAAGGTTACCTATTAGGGAAGTGCAATTTGGATCCTTTTCAAAAAGAGATGGCTCCTGGATTATCAGAAGGACCTTAAACAAACCTCTAATCTTTATTATTCCCATGGTATAGACCCTAAATTGTAGCTCTGTGTATTAATATAATGAATTTCTCTGATCATGGCTAATTTTAAAGTGTGTTTTCTTTTTCCCTCAGATTTCAGACAAACAATGAACAAAAAATTTCCCTTCATCTTGGAAGGTATGTTTTCCCTTACCTAAAAATGAGCGCAAGACAACCTTACAAGGTAATCTATAATTAAGTAGTCATTTCTTTAAGATCCTCAGTTGATTAAGAGCTAGAATATAGTTTTTTCTTTTATGATAAGTCAATCTCCAACACTACTATTTAGCCCCATTTTAACTTATGGGAGACCATGCAGTAGAGAAAATGATCATTTGTAGACAGTTATCTAATGGGCTGGATTCTGAGTCTTTTGGCTGAGAACATACATACACTCTGAGATGAGACATGACTGGGATGCAGCTTTGCTTACAATATAAAGTGGTCTCAGTCAGGCTTGCCATTTTTCTCAGAGGTCAGTTTAAGGATTGTGTAGTTACTTTGCATAGTATCTAGTATAACAAACAATGTTTATTACAGTGATTAGTGGAGTGGGGCTAGAGCTTGTACCTTAACTATTTATCTTACTGTCATCTTTTTCATTGTACCATGTAGGAATCTAAAAAGTCTGATTTTTCTTAATACCTTAATTTTAATAGCATTTTTACATGATTTTGAAAATGGCACCCCCCCTTTTTTTTAATAGTTTATTACAAATCCATTGAACAATCTGGAATGCATGGAATCAGAGCACAAGATCAAGAAAAATGGTTAAATAGCAAAAAATTAAGAGTAAGTACAATTTTAATTCATAATTAATTTAAAAACACTATTTTCTTTGCTTTTTAGTTTTCTGACTCATTCTCAGCTTCTTGTTTTTGAACTTTTTCTTTTTCTTGATGATACTTTTCACATCTCTGTTGTGTACCCAGTCGTCACATTCAGCCTCCCATTTGAGCTGTTTGAGACTTGCGTTGTCTCTGTTAGCCATGGCATTCATGCCAATGTGATCAAACTTAGATCCCATATTTTCATCCAATAGGTGTCCAAACTCTTCAGCAGATACAAATAGGCTGGAGTCATTGACATTTCCTTTCTTTTTTTGCCTTGGTCCTTGAAATGACCCAGCAAAATCAAAATCATCGACACCTTTTCTCTTTTGTCTCTTGGTATTGACTTTGGTGTGGTCTTCTTCATCAAGTTCTGGAACACCTTCACTTTCATCATCTAATACATCCATGAATGTTCCTCCATCTTCATCAATTTCAGCAAATTCTTCATTCATACTTCCTAAAGAAACTTCGTCATCATCCAGGTTATCAAAGTCGTCATCACTACCTCCTGAATCTTCATCTTCTGGGTTACCCTTAGCTCCTTTTGTTTTCTTTTTTACATTGCCAGCAAAATCAAGGTCATCCTTTCCAGAGGTGAAAAAATTATCATCTTCAAATGTGTCAATCATATTTTCAAATTCATCATCATCTACATCTTCTATACTTTCTTCATCTGTATGCCGTTTTTGTTTCTCTTTAACAATAGCAAGTTTTTTATAATACCTGTGGAAAAACACTTCATCCACTGGTATCTGGCTTTCTTCTTTTGCAAGGAATTCCTTACTGTTCACAGCAAGACTACGAACATTCTTTATAAAATGTTTCCTTTTTGGCTGCATCACAACACTGTCTGTGTTTTCTTTGCCTTTATGTGGCTTTGGATTTCGGTACACAAATCGATCCAAGAATCTCATTAGTGTGAAATCCTGCAGTGGGTCCTCTGAATACTGAATATAATTTCCCTGAAGGATAGTCTTTGCGAAAAGGGCCACGGAGGGATGAAAATGCTCAGATAGCTTTTTGAGTTCCCAAAGACTTGTGTGCTCAGCTCCACAGAACAATGGGTTTCTACTGAATGGATCATATGTATTTGACTGTTTGCCACCTTTCAGATTATTAAAGTGTACTCAGGAAGCAGTCTCCAGTGTTTTAGTTTCTTCTTTACTTTCAGACACAGTTTTCTCTGTGTCAACTCTTTTGACTATGTCTGTGTCTTTGTCTGCATCAGCGATTTTGTCTATGTCTTCATCATCTCCTACGTCGACAAAATTTTCCTCATCATCAGTCTCCTGATGATCATCTAGTTGACTTCTTAAAGTTGGTTTTGCCTTAAGGATCTCAGAAACAAGATATAAAGCTCCACATATGAATGGTGGCATGTGTTCACAAGTCACTTGAAGTAACCTTTTCAGAAAAGCCTTTACCCGGCGCAACACGATGTCAGCTTTCAGAGACTTGTACACAAGGTTAAGAAACATGGCTTGCTTGGAACATGATAACAATCCTGGATCCAACATCTTCCTGTA